AGAAGATGATCTTCCCCCCCCCTCCCTTCCCCCATATACCCCTCCTCCCTCCCCATACCCACATACCCCTCTTCCCTTCCCCCCCATCCCCTTCACCCCCCCCAAACCCCACTCACAGGAGAAGTTTGATCTTCCCCCACCCCTCCTCCCCTCCCCTCCCCCCCCCATTACCCCACATATCCCACTTCACCCCCCCCCCGAAACCCCACTCACAGGAGAAGTTGATCTTGCCGCAGAGGAACCCGCAGGAGGGCAGGTGCAGGAAGTCCGTGCAGGCGCCCCGAAGAAGGTCATCACGGGGTTCTCCATCTCGAAGTTCACCGTCTGCATCTTGATCCCGCAGACCTCCTCGCCCGACCTGCGGAGAGGGAGGGGCGTGAGGGAAAAGGAGGGAGGGAGGGAAGGAGGGAAGGGGTGAGGGAGGGTGGGAGGGAAGGAGGGAGGGAGGAAGGAGGAGGGGAGGGAGGGAGGGAAGAAGTGAGGGAGGGAAGGGGGTGAGGGAAAACAAGGAGGTGAGGGTAGGGAGGAGGGAGAAGGAAAGAAGTGAGGGAGGGAAGGAAGGAGGGAGAGGGGTGAGGAAGGGAGGGAGGTAGGAAGGAAAAGTGAGGGAGATAAGGGGGTGAGGTAAGGAGGGAGGGAGGTAAGGGAGAGAGGGGGATGAGGAGGGAGGGAGGAAGGGAAGTGAGAGAAAGCAAGGGGGCGAGAGGGGTGAGGGTAGGGACGAAAGGAAGGAGAGGGTGAGGGAGGAAGGAAAGAAAGGATGGAGAGAAGTGAGGGAGGGGAGGGAGGACGGGAGAGGGGGTGGGGAAGGAGGGAGAGGGGCGGTGAGGAATCGGATACAGATATATAGGTATATAGATAAACAGATATATAGACATAGATGTAGATATAGAAATGCATATAGATGTAGATGTAGATATAGATGTAGGGATATAAATATATATATTATAGAACAACATATATAGATATAGACAGATAGATAAACAGATGAATAGACAAATAGCCAGAGATCGACAGAATAGACATAGCCATAGGTATAAATCTGTACACACATAGACAGATTTCCACAAATGATAACTACACTAGAGGATGTCACATTTGAACTCAAGCTTGGAAAACATGTCTATTTTACAGCAAATAGACATGCATATATATTTTTTTTTAGCTAAATGAACCACAGAAAATGTAGTATCAAGTATATTCACTATACAGAAGCTTCAAATGCATGTATAGAGGCTAGACTGTTTAAAAAAAACTGGTTTTATTTGCTATATTTCCAATGAGGGAAGTTATGCTAGGTGAAATTCTATATAAAAAATGAGGACTACAAACAAAATATTGTTTGTTTCATAGAAAATGTAAGGCATCCATAAATTAAGGTATAACTATTTGTTTTTTTCTTTAGGAACAGAAACGTCTTGCTCATATAGATTATGATTCCTTCCCGAGTGTCCTTTTCTTTGATAAGATGGAAATAATTCATGGTTTTGCTCTTTTTCCTAAAAAGATATCACTCTATTTATCTAAGTGTCTGAGTGTGTGTGTAACCCCTACACCCATACACATACACGCACATTATACATACATACATACATATAAACACATACATTTATATATATATATATAATATATATATATATATATATATATATACATATATACATATAAAATCAAACACACATCCCAATCGTCAATCCAACCCTTTCCCCATTCACCCTCCCCTCTCACACACATTCCCCACCACACCCCTCCCCTCTCCCCCTCAGCCCCCTCCCCCCATCAGCCCCCCTCCCCCCCACCATAGCCCCACCCCGCCCACCCCCCACCCCCAACCCAACCCCCCAGCAACTCACCTGATGAACTCGTACACGCAGTCCAAGCTCTCGGGGTATTTCTTTGGGTAATAGGGGGTGTTGATGGTCCCTCGCGAATCTGTGATGCGGGTATAGCAGGGTGCCCCGGAAGTGCCCGGTATGGTAGAGATGGGCGGGTTCTGCGTCTGGTAGGGGCCCGGGCACGTGGTCATCACCTCGTACCTGGGGGGGAGGAGGGGAGTGGTGATGGTGGTGGGGATGAAGCGTGGATGGATGGATTGGTGAAAGAGGATGGTGGTGATGGTGATGATGATGGTGATGCAGTGGGACAGATAGATGTAGAAATAGAGTGGTGGTGGTGATGAAAAGCGTGATGGATGGATGTTGAAATAGGATGGTGGTGGTGGTGATGATGATGGTTGGATGTTGAAATAGGATGGTGGTGATGGTGATGATGATGGTTGGATGTTGAAATAGGATGGTTGGTGATGGTGATGGTGATGCAGTGGGACAGATAGATGTAGAAATAGGATGGTGTGATGGTGATACAGTGGGACAGATAGATGTTGAAATAGGATGGTGGTGATGGTGATGATGTGATGCAGTGTGTCCGGACAGATAGATGTAGAAATAGAGTGGTGATGATAAGTATGATGGATAGATGTTGAAATAGGATGGTGGTGATAGTGATGGTGATGACGATGCAGTGTGAGGGATGGATGTTGAAATAGGATGGTGGTGATGGCAATACAGTGAAGGGTGGATGTAGAAATAGAGTGGTGGTGATGGTGAATGAAATGGTGATGATGATAGTGAGAAGGCAAATGTATGTAAATGAAATGGTGATGATGAGGACGATGATATGACAAATGCTTATAAGATGATGGTGGTGTTAATGCTAATGATGAGACAAATAAAAGATAAAATGGGGATGATAATGATCATACTTAGACATGCATGCAACAATAATGATGATGATAATACATGGTAAATATATGAAAATATTATGGTGATAGTGATGATTAGTGATGGTAATGAGAAGACAATAAATATAAACAAATATATTAGTGATGGTAATTTTAGCACTTAATAGAGTTGTGCTATTAAAGGGGTTGACAATGACAGGACACATTGAATATATCCCTTACTCCCAGAGGTCAGAAGGAAGAATATTGCCTGACTCCTAACAGGCAACTATAAACTACATTGTTTTGGATAATGAGGAATAGTGGGCTAAAGGGTGGTTCGCTGGTTTGAAGGGAATTTCATCCTTATGCGGTTGTACTTTTGGTGTCATTGTGTCTAATGTTAAAGGGACGTATGTGACCAACAGTGCTGTGTATCTATATTCGTTCTATACAGCTGAGGTTGTATAAAAATTAAAAATTAACGTATGTATTGTAGTCAATAACGTATAAAAAATAAAAATTAACGTATGTATTAGAATTAACAATACACTGTTATGGTCACAACACTGTCTTTAGCACAATATCTTTACGTACTTACCAGCACTAATTACAACCAAATAATGTATAGAAACTCCTTTAAAAGACATTAACATCACACCACCAGAACACCAAACCACGAGCCATTTTGATGATGATGAACAGATACAAATTAATGATGATACAAATTAGATATGATGGTGTTGATGATTACGCATGTCATACTAATAAAACGGTGATGGAAATTACTGTGATGATAATAGGCCATAGTTGTTATGTGAAAATGGAATTGGTTTAAACGATGATGGTGATGATAGGACGCAATGGATATATACTAATGAAATGGTGATAATGATGACGTCAATGATAATGGGCAATAATCATAATGACGGTGATAGTATGGTGGTAATGAGGATTGTGACAACAATGATAATCACTTTTGGTAGAGATAATGAGGAAAAGTAGAGAAAATGGCCTATAATTAAATGGTTCGTCAGGTAGTTTTACCAATATAAGAAGTACGATTTCATGATAGGGTATTTGTCTTTGCTTATGATCCAAATGAGTGGTTCCCAACTTTTTCTATTCTGTTGCCAATATACAATGATCTCCATGGCCCCGTTCAATGTGTTAACTTTTCATTTTAAGTTATTGCTAATTATGGTGTAATGGTGCCAGCAACTATAGGACAAGAACACTACATAGGAAATATTCCAATGCATTCATAAGTGAGAAATAATCATCTGTAGGTACTGTAGGTAAGACAAAATCCAGTTTAATTCAAAGTAATAATTTTCCTACTGCTCCATGACCCTCCAGAAAGTGTCTCATGACCCATAGACTGGGAATCCGTGATCTAAATTACTTTGACAGAAATACCAACTATTACCAGATTCATAATGTTATGTTTCGATAGACAGCGCAGAATATACTTTTGGAATCAGTATGAGGAGGATATGACAAAGAAGATATATTTTTAACTCTGGTAAAATAATATAACACAGATAGACAAGTGAAGTATGGAGATTTGTTGTACCTTTAAACAAACAAACAAACAAAAATATATGAAAATGCATTACAGTACATAATTAACGACAACAATAGCAATAACAAAACTACTAAAGATAATGCCAGTGATGATAGCAGATAAAAAATGAGGATAATAACAATGATACACACACACAGCCACACACATACATATATCTACATACATACATGTATACTGTATAGATATGTATATACACACACTAACAGACCTCTCTATCACCATTATCACTCACTATCACCACTATTCACTACTCATTATTGTCACTATCACCACTCATCCTCACCACCACTCACTCTCAGCAATCACTATTCACCACTCACTCTCAGCATCATCACTATTCACTCACCCTACAACCATCATAACTCATCATTCACTTCTCACTATCATCACTATTCACCACTATCATCCTAATCATCACTACTCACCACCACTCACTTCACCATCATCACCATCATCACTATTCACTCTCACCACCACTCACTATCATCACAATCGTCACCATCATCACTCTTCACTCTCAAACACTCTCAACACTCTCTTCACTCGCAACCACCACTCACTATCACCACAATCGTCACCATCCTCTCTCCTCACCATCCTCGCCTTACCTTATCCTGAAGCCCCGCCGCCCCTCGTGCGCCTCGCCCGCGTGGAAGACGAAACGGATGGCCTCCGCCCCCGGCTGGAACAGGT